CATCAAATTTAGCATGTGCAACTTGCCCTGAAGGCTCTATTCCATTATCAAATGGATTGGAGACAGTAAAAGAATGGGAGGATCAGAAAATACAGGATCAAACATCCTTTTTACACAATGCAGAGAATTAACCCCTTAGGTTCCAAGTGAGTATAACAAGCATGCTTTACTGCATATACAGACTGATTTTACTGTTGTGGGCTTAGTAAGACTTTAAGACTCCCTTCTGTTGCAGATCTCTGTGCTCTGTGATTATGGAATGGGAATTCTTGGACTTTTAAAGCAAACCTATGTTTTGACCATGCAGGGAAAAACAAGATTTGTTCTACAGATCCCCTCCCCAGTAGCACATGTTTCTTCTACACCCCTCTTGCTCAATTCTGCCACCTGAAGTAAAGAAAACACACTGAACCTCTGGGGAGGGACATGTGAGTCCCTAACCTTTATCTCGTGACAGAGCTGGTGACTGGCTTAGCTCTGTCACTCACAGTTCTCTGTGTTGTTCAGCTTGGATCAATGCAACTATGTATATACCATACCTGCCCCATGCTCCTGAAAGCTTGAAATCACTGAAGTAGACACCACTACACCACTACTCCAAGCTGTACAAATCTACCATACCTCAAATTCTTCTTTAACCACTTCCCAACCGTGCTATAGCCAAAGGATGGCTACAGCGCGGTTGTGTAATTCTGGAATGACGTCCATGGACGTCATTCCAGGACATGCCCCCAGAGGCGCGCACCCGCCACCTCTGGTAATCACTGTGATTACCTGATACGGTAAACGGCCAATCACGGCAGCCTTTTACCACGTGATCAGCTTTGTCCAATGACACAGCATATCACCGGGTAAATACAGTTGCTGGTTATCGGCTGCACTTTCCTCACGCTGTCACAAAGGGATCGGCACTGATCATCACTGCCCTGATGATCAGTGCTACCCACCTGTGCCCATCAGTGTCACCCACCTGTGCCACCCACCTGTGCCACCCAACTGTGTCCATCAGTGCCACCCGCATGTGCCCGGCAGTGCCAGCCCACTGTGTCCATCAGTGCCACCCACCTGTGCCCAGCAGTGCCGTTCATCAGTGCCGCCTATCAGTGCAGCATCATCAGTGCTGGCTATCAATGCCGCCTATCAGTGCCTCCTATCACTGCCAATCATTGCTGCCTATCTGGGCCACCTCATCAGTGCTGCCTGTCAGTGCAGCCTCATCAACGCACATCAGTGAAGGAGAAAAATTGCATGTTTGCAAAATTTTATAATAGAAATTTTTTTTTTTGCTCGTTTTTGTTTATAGCACAAAAAATAAATCACCCAGTAGCAATTAAATACCATCAAAGAAAAGCTCTATTTGTGTGAAAAAAAATGATAAAAATTTTATATGGGTACAGTGTTGCATGACTGCGCAATTGTCATTCAAAGTGCGACAGAGCTGAAAGCTGAAAATTGGCCTGGGCAGGAAGGGGGTATAAGTCAAATGGTTAAAAGCAAGGCATATCAAGGGTTTAATAGGTGGCCAATTTTTTGATTCACCACAACCATCACATTACTTCATAGTTTAGCATAAAACTACTATCTACAAAGACTTGCATTAGTCAAGCAGAGACAAAGTCATGTGAAGGTATCAGCATTAGCAGAGGGGAAAAGAGTCAAATCCTGGCCCTAGGTTGCAGAAAAATGGATTGAGTAATTCAGGGAGTTTGTATAGTGGTTTTCTAAAATTACCTTTATTTTTATGGTCAATTGATATATTTAACTTTAACACCCACATTGATTAGAAAGATGTATTATCTTTTTGCATTGGAGCCTGAAAGCATTGGAACCACAATCATTGAGTCATGGGTGAAAGGCTCTGGGTCCTGCAGACTATTCCTTCAACCAGGTGAGTACTGTATTAATGGACTACAAGTGCAGTAATGGCATCATACTTTGAGAACTAGAAATTCCTCTGCTGTGGTGGCAAGAGGAACTCATAGCATTTTAAATAACAGGTCCTGTGTGGGTGAGCCACATAAAGCCATGCCAAATTAAAAAATGCTCTAGGGAGAAGAACCTCTGGGAGTGCAGCTTGGGAGGATGCAGACTGTTACCATGTTTCATATTACACACTATTCATTTGGTGTAACATGGAGCATTGTCAGAAAGGTGGACTTTTAATTCTAATTATTATGAAGTATATTTATATAATTTTGTTCAGCCAGCATAAGCAATTTAGGCTCTTTATCACATTTTCAAGTTTGTCTTCCAATGTATAAAGCACGTTGTTGCAAATTACATACCTTTCTCTCTTCCTCTTCTTCCAGCCACTTTCTGTCTGAGGTTTCAATTAGAGAAAGCATATCTGAAAGGAGGCATCTTCTGCCTATTTGGCCCCCCTTCCCCTAGTTGCTCATACTCACCTTCTATTCCCTTCGCTGCCATTCCATTCGCTAGTAAGAGTGAGCAGAGAAAGCCAAAGTTGGTCTGTTCACTTAACCAGGGCTTAAAAGGATAGCTATTGAGAATTCTGACTGTAGATATAATTGGATCTAGTAAAGTCTTAGTCCCATTCAGCAGCTACTGTGTGTTGCAGCAAAAAATAGGAAGCTGTTCAGTAAACCTCTGATATAAATAAATAATAATACTTAAAAAGACTAAGGAGTTATTTGAATGACAGCTCTGAGCCTGCCTGGGACTGCTGATGTCACATCCAAAATGGCAGCATACAGCAGGAGTCTCAAGTTGGTTCAGTATCCTAAGATCATCAATAACTAAATGCATGAAACAAGCTAACTTGACATATAATCTTCCGGGAAATGTGCTCCTGATATTATTAGAATGGACACGCGGGCTATTTAAGTCTACTTCACTTTTCCCAAAAGGACCTATTTTTGGGGATCTGCTGCATCTACTCAGCACATACTGCAGGGCATCGCTGTAAATACTCCACACTGTGTCTATATATTATGTTTTATTTATAAAAGGTCAAGCACAGTGTGGAGCCTCTGATGCCCTGTGGTGTGTTCTCTGCATATTGTTGCAATGAACAGTCACAGATAAATGAACAACGCTGTCATAGGACCTTCTTCAGGTGGATTGGCAGGTTGCCTTCTCCCCCATTCTTTTTTTTTTCCCATTTATTAGACAGGATGTGATTTTGCTTGCTTCTAAGTCCAACCTGCATTTATAAACTTCACAGCAATGCTTCTATATGTGTTGGAGGTGCTTTTAATAGCAAAGGAATATTCTGAAGATAATGCTGGTTTGTAATAAGAGAAGGTAATTTGGATATGTCGAAGTGTGTACATTGCCTAATAGCATTTCCCAGGAAAATAATGTGAACATTCCATTTTACATCTGCAGTAATACACCAAGTACCAACTAAAACAAAAAATAAGTGGATGCACTTTTCACTTTTGTCAGACAGTATGCTATATTGCTGTGCAAAAGTTATAATCTCTGTTACATTGAACCCATGAACTGTTTCTCCTCTGTCTAAGTAGAGTGATTGAAAGTGTTTTTTTCTATAATTCTGCGCTAACAGAATTGATAAATGGACTCTCTCCTCTCTGTACGTCAAGGCAAAATTTTAAAAAATACATGTTTTGTTTGTTTTCTGCAATACATGCATTGTTTCCCCATGTTTTATATTTTTTACCTCTCTATCCCAAATTATTATTCATTATCTACCTATAAAAAAACCACTTGATCTCCAGAAGGTTTACCACCTTCATGACCAGGGCATTTTTTTTTTTTCGCTATTGAGCACTGCACTGCTACAACTGGCAATTGCACAGTCATGCAACGCTGTACACTGATTAAATTCATATTGGTGGTATTTGATCACCACAATGTTTTTTAATGTTTAAATAATATGTTTTATATAAATGAAAAAAGAACAAAAATGTTGGGAAAAAATATTTTCTACTTTCTGTTATAAAACATATCCAATTAAAAAAAAATCAAAAAATGTAATGTATTCATAAATTTAGGCCAAAATTTATTCTGCATGTCTTTATTAAAAAGAAAATTCCAATAGGTGTATAATAATTGCTTTGTGCAAAAGTTATATAAACTATGGTTTATACAGTATACTGAAATTTACACAGCTATGACGCTATACTGGTAATGGAGGTGATCAGCGATTATAGGTGGACTGTGAAAGTGTGGCAGTTTGCCATTAGCTGACCCTGGCTGGGAGGTACACTAACTGACTAATTTACACTAACATCAGTAGTGACACTAGTACAGTGGTCAGTGCTAATACTGTACACTGAGACCATACTAGTGACACTGGCTGGGAAGGGGTTAAAATCTAGGGACAATCAAATGGTTAATTTTGTGTCTAATAATGTGTAATGTGTGTAACATGTGCTGCCTTTACTTTACTATCTGGCTGCTTTTTCTCCCTGCAAAGCAGGGAGAAAAACCAACCAGACCACTGTTTCCTGTCTACAGAGTTCTGTGTTTTGTAAACACAGAAATCTGTGTGTATTTGGACAACTGGAGTTCAGCTAAAATCATTGGCTCAAATCAGCTGCCAAACTCGTGCCCACAGACCCGGAAAAAGACATTCAAGATATATAGGTGACTGTGCCTGCACTTGTGTGTTGCATTTGATATAAATATATATGTCTGTTTTATGATTTTTTTTTTCTCAGACTTACAGGAAAGATTGTGTTTGTATTGAAGACAGATAGCAAATTACTTGGAGTTTGTTTGAGGGGATACTTCTCAAACTGGATACAAAGGTAACATAGATACCATTGTTGTATATCAGTTGACAGTTGGATCAGCCTATTGCTCTGTAAGTGGTCAAACATAGCTTGACCTTTTGACATATATGACCTATGGCATGTATGATACCACAGTACCACCTTGAGGTTGAATTGAATTGAGAAAGTTTCTTCCATTGAAAAACAGTATTGTGAAAGAGGCCACACCCCTGTGGGGATGGTAAACTTTTCAAATAAAAGGTCAGAAGGTTAGGCTGACAAGAAGGACTCTAAAATTACTAAGGTGTCTGTTTATGAAAGAGAGAAAAACTGAGATCCTGATGATCACAGCAGGGGCGGACTGACAACTCATGGGCCCCCGGGCAATAGGGGATCATGGGGCCCCTGTGTCCTTGCCCAAACTCAAAGAAGCCTATGAAAAAGGTACCAGGGGCATCTCATGGGGCCCCCTACTGACCCCGGGCCCTCGGGCAGTGCCGGAGTTTCCAAATGGTCAGTCCGCCCCTGGATCACAGCAGATCTCTCAGGTGTGCCAGTTTATGAAGTTGAAGTGAGGAGCGGAGAACATTTTCTTCACTTCTCATAACAGGACACACCCTGCTGTCATTCAATTCTACAGAGATGGCCAGTTTATGAAGGTGAGATCTGAAGATCTCACTGGCTATCTCTTTAAAATATCTCCATCCCACATTCTCCAGCCCAGAGCTGGAGAATCTTGGTGAGAAGCTGCTGTGATGTGAGGAAAAAGGCTTTTTTTTCTTCCTAATATTAGCACCAGTGGGGTTAAACATTGATATAAATTATAACTATATATGTATATTTGTAACTTATATTATATATACATATTATATATTACCTACATATATATATATATATATATATATATATATATATATAATGCATTTTTCTGCACATTTTGTCACTTTTTTAAAAAATGTGAGCTGAAATTTTTATTTGCATTTTGGTGCTTTTTTAACATGTATTTTGGCCCATTATTTTACCTGCGTGTTTGTGTGTGTTCTGGAAACGCGTGCAAAATGCATGCCATGTTTTTGGTGCCATTATTTTACTAATGGCACTGAAAAGTGGCTAGCAGATGTGCAGCTTGCCAAAACATGCATAAAAACCAAATCAAAATGCACTTTAAAAAAGTGCCAAAATACGTGCTAAGAAAAGCCGCAAAATGTGCATTACAAACCACACCAAAATGCATGTTAAAATAACCTGTGGCAAAATGTGCGTAAAAGCACCTAAATGTGTGTTTAGAAAAGTGCCAAAGTGCACATTAAAAAAACTCACGCCAATGATGTAAAAAAAATATAACATGTTAAAAAGTGGAAAAATGCACGTAAATAATACTAAAATGCACAATAAAAAGGATCCAAAATACACATGTAAATAATGTGCCAAACTGTGCGTAAAAAAGGACCAGTGGTCAGTGTTTATTATTTTCTTGTATATACAGGTATATCTGTTAATCTTGAACTTTTTTTTTATAATTGTAATAGTTTCTATGTACAGCATTTCCATTTAGTAAAAGCACATTAATACGCTACAGAGGTCTAAGATTCCTTGCTTTTAATGCAAAGTAACCTTACTGACACCAAGCAAAACAATTGTTCAACTGAAGCAGATCTGTTTTCTGTTCTGTTGCTTGTGCTAAGGAAAAATGCTGCATAGGTTGTTTATGAAACACGAGGCTGCAGAGGTTTCAGGTATCCATAAGGGGATGTGTAGTCTTCCTATCTGGGCCAGAGACAATGAGTGGGGGCCTCTTGCTAAAGAATTTGTATAGTAGGCTTCTCCCTTACATAAGACTTGGGGTGATAAAGTCTCAGATCATTTGTAGATCAAAAGTTATAGCAGTCCCTAGGGGACGTCTGACGTAATTGCACAAAACTGGAAGTGGCGGCGCGGCCATTTTGTTGACTGGTGGTTTTTGATCTCAGGAAGCTGCTGTGGCTGGATCATGGGAATTGAATTGAAGGTTTACCCTACATACAGTTACTGAGAGCTTGGAAGTGACTGCTATAACATCTGATTATCCCTTAAGGCTTGATATTACTCCATGAGGGTAATTGTATGTATTCTTGCCATTTAGAGGTGGTCACGGAGTATTCACTTTATTTGTTTTAAATGTATTTATTTTTGTTATTTATTATTTAAATTTGATTTTTTTTTTTTGAGTGTACACAATTTGTCACTATATATTAGTTTATTTTAGTGTACACAGAGTGATTTTGCATGATTCACATGTTACTCACAGTTGAATCTATTTTATGTCAAAAAATGTTTTGCACAGATATAGTATATACCTATTTGTTTGGAAGGTATATACACATATTTGAAGGTAAAACACTATTTTAGTTTTATTTTTCAAGGTAATCACTGAGTCCGGAATGCTGGAAATATTGAAGTTGGACACACAGGATTGAGAAATTTTGGTGGACTTGAAAACTTAATTTTTGGGACTTTATTTAATTTTATGGTTTGATTTATCTATTGCGTTAAGAAAAAAAAGGTTTTTATAATAGATTTAATTTTACCAAGATACATGCTGCCTCCAACAGCATAGCCTGGCAATGTGTTTGCAACCATCTTTTAGGTACGCTATTTTTGGCCACTACTACAAGGTACTGGCAACAGGACAGTTATGATTTATCGGAAAATGTTGCTCCCCATGCACAGAAGCTGAATTTACAAAAAACCTATTCCTAGGAGTGTAAATGTAAATAATATTCAAAAATGCTGAGAAGCGCTAAGACCCAAACATGCTATCTGAATCCATATGCATATCAATTCTCTTTCTTGGTCCCCAAACTTAAGCGTCTACCTTATTCTCAAACATTTGTTGTGCATTCATTTTCATGCTTGCAAGAATGTATCAGAATTACTTACGCAGAAGCCCTAACAATGAATGTTTCTTGTTTTCTCCTTTTGATGGGGCAATCTCTCCTATGTAGTTATTGTGTCCCTTCCATGCCGAGATAAAAATTGAAAATTTAATTCAAATACTTACTGTGATTTTCCTTTCCTGACGGGCTCCATGGCAGCAGCTCCATGGCAGCACAGCTGGGTGAGGCCCTGCCCAGCCCCTACATGATCAGGACATATCTATAAATTTTTAGCTCACCTCAGCCTCTGCGTTCCGTAAATAGCTCTACCAAACTGGGTGGGATTTGTGCTGCCACGGAGCCCGTCAACAAAGGAAAATTACGGTAAGTATTTGTATTCAATTTTCTGTTTTCCTGATGGCTTCATGTCAGCACAGCTGGGAATTAACTAGGCACATGGGAGGGTAATGCCTGACCAATTTAATTTTGAATGGAAGCAGAATCCAAAACACTACTGCCAAAATCAATAGTAGTCAGAGTTGCCAACTCTATACAATAATGCGTCAAGAATATACAAAAAAACCTTTTTGGTGATGCAATAAATCCCACATTGAATTCAAAATCCTACATATACCAAATTATCTAATATAATATAAATACACCAACTCAAAATAGTCCAATGTGAACTCCAAAATTATGCCCAAAAATTGTCCAAAAATTGTCCAAAATAAATCCAATATAGTGTCCTAATTCCAATCTTTTCCTTCCAATCTGTGAAAATTATTCCTCCAAACACGTACCTCGAGAAATAAAAATAAACAATCTAGTGCAATACAATTAATTAGAAAAAATCACCCCGTGAAACTCCACACTTCACTGCAAAAGTATATCTATTTGTGAAAAAAAAAAAAAAAAAAAATTCAATTATACCAATCTTATTTTATAATAGTGCAAAAACCACATCAATCAAAAGTGTGCGCACTCTGTGATCACTGCTGCACAGTGAATTCCTTCAACCACCACACAATAGTACAAAATACTATTACCCTCTATGTGTGTAATTAAGGCTCTACCAACATTATGGATCAGTAATCTTCCAAAAATCTTCTTTTGGGATATTTCCAGGTCCTCAGAGAAATAAATGGTCTTAGGAGCAATATTCAAAACATAGGGATAACATTTATTAGTAACTCACACTTAAGAATTGGATTATCAGCTCCAGCTATGGTTTCTGTCCGCTTAAACAAACATTTCCTCCACCATGTGTATTGACAACCTAAAAAATGGCCGCGGCGACACTTCCGGTCTGCATACGTGCGTCCTGACGTCACTCCCTAAAAGGAGTGACGTCAGGACGCACGTATGCAGACCGGAAGTGTCGCCGCGGCCATTTTTTAGGTTGTCAATACACATGGTGGAGGAAATGTTTGTTTAAGCGGACAGAAACCATAGCTGGAGCTGATAATCCAATTCTTAAGTGTGAGTTACTAATAAATGTTATCCCTATGTTTTGAATATTGCTCCTAAGACCATTTATTTCTCTGAGGACCTGGAAATATCCCAAAAGAAGATTTTTGGAAGATTACTGATCCATAATGTTGGTAGAGCCTTAATTACACACATAGAGGGTAATAGTATTTTGTACTATTGTGTGGTGGTTGAAGGAATTCACTGTGCAGCAGTGATCACAGAGTGCGCACACTTTTGATTGATGTGGTTTTTGCACTATTATAAAATAAGATTGGTATAATTGAATTTTTTTTTTTTTTTTTTTTTTCACAAATAGATATACTTTTGCAGTGAAGTGTGGAGTTTCACGGGGTGATTTTTTCTAATTAATTGTATTGCACTAGATTGTTTATTTTTATTTCTCGAGGTACGTGTTTGGAGGAATACTTTTCACAGATTGGAAGGAAAAGATTGGAATTAGGACACTATATTGGATTTATTTTGGACAATTTTTGGACAATTTTTGGGCATAATTTTGGAGTTCACATTGGACTATTTTGAGTTGGTGTATTTATATTATATTAGATCATTTGGTATATGTAGGATTTTGAATTCAATGTGGGATTTATTGCATCACCAAAAAGTTTTTTTTGTATATATTTAACAATTTCTAGGGTGGAAAGTATTGACTTTTTGAGGGTATAAGGAGGTCATATATTTAATTAATGCGTCAAGAAGTCCATGTAGCTGCCTTGCAGATTGTTTCCAGAGAAACTCCTCCTCCCATCGCCCAGGAGGTTGAGACCCCTCTATTGGAATGCACTGTGACCCCCTCAGGCACAGGCAGACCCCTCGCTGTGTATGTTAAAGAGATTGTCTTGACCAACCACAAGCCAAAACACTACTGCCAAAATCAATAGTAGTCAGAGTTGCCAACTCTATACAATAATGCGTCAAGAAGTCCATGTAGCTGCCTTGCAGATTGTTTCCAGAGAAACTCCTCCTCCCATCGCCCAGGAGGTTGAGACCCCTCTACTGGAATGCACTGTGACCCCCTCAGGCACAGGCAGACCCCTCCCTCTGTATGTCAAAGAGATTGTCTTGACCAACCACAAGGCCATCACTCTACTAGCAGCCCTCAGGCCCTCTGGAGCACTGTTAGGGAT